CTCTTCTGCAATTGAATTTTTGTTCAAGTATCGGGTTGGGTACAAATTACAAAAAGAAAAGAAAAAAAAAAACAATGGGCAACAAATTCTTTTTTGTAAACAGTTTTGTTTGTTATGAAAGGGAGCAGGAGAGTAACCGGTCCATAGGATATAATAGATGAATAAGGGGTCGTGGTCAGGCTTTCTGAGATGTTGACAGTCTTCTTGTCTGTATAAAAAAGTTTGCATTGTAAGGTTCATTGACTGAATCATATAAACAAAGGTTGCCAGATTCAACCACACCTTTTGTTTTTCCAGACGGACCAATGCCAGCATTTTTATTCTTGGTTGAGTTCACTACTCACAAGGGCTACCCCTCACCCCCAAGGCCTCAACCCTTGCTGTCCTTTTCACCCTCCCAATTTCATTCTTATTTCCATTCCCAAAATTAGATATTATAATTTTTTTATTCAAATTCATGATTCCATGATTCGAGAGAGAGAGAGACATATTTCATGCAGTAGCTTCTGGCATTGCAAGAGTTAAGAAACTCAAAAAGTTCGGTAAGACTTGTTTGGCAAACATCTGCAGAGCTGAGAAAAAAAAGGCTTCCATGAGCTGTAAAATCAACAATTTAATGAAGCTAGCATAGGTATATAGCTTCTCAGAAGCGGCTCATTTCAAGCATTTCAATTACCATAAAAGCCCTCTCAAATAGGCTCCCATGCCCCTTTTTTTGGAAGGCTTTCATATAGCCGCTTCTACCTTTGCAAGGTGGACTCTATATTGGAAAATCTAGTATATGTTTGGTATCAATGCTGCAGATCTCAGAAAACGGTGTTGCTGATGTGTGGGTATCGTTTTTTAAGAAAACGGTGTCTTTTTTGTTTGGAAAAGTTGCTTTTAGGTATGACATTTCCTAAAGCAACAACAGCGTTTTCTATTTGGTACCAGCGTTGGTACCTATTATTCAATGCCACGCCATGTCCTTGTCATTGCTACTTCATGTCTTTGTTGGCATCAACAAGCTGTAGTTCTAGGAAACACCAAATTCGGCATTGCTCCAAACCATGCCTTCCTGATACTCCTTTCAAACTGAGCTGGAAAAATTGTTTCTAACAAATTAGGCATTTCCTGGAGCACCATGTTTTCCGATATAATGCTAATGTGTCGTTGTTTTCTGGAACAACAACATCGATGCCAAACGAACACCTAAAAGCTATGTTTGGTAAAAACTCAGAGAGCCTCAATATGTTTTTCGTTCAGCCATTAAATCGATTATCTCGTGAGACTAACTGCCCATTTGTGAGGATTTTCATGCAATGGTTTTTAGCGTTTCAAGTTAGGTCTCATCCATGAATTAATGTTTGATGAAAAACCCGGAAAACCAGAAATATGCATACATGAGTTGAGAAGTTAAATTCTAATAAAGCTATTTTTGGTAGCTTCTCAGAAGCGGCTCAATGAAAGCTGAAGTTAGTAACTACCTCAAAAGTGGCTCAACGAAAGCAGTTAAATCAAAGCTAAAAGCCTAAAACCCTCCCAAACGAATTCTTGGTTTAAGTGCATTGACTGGAAAACCCCGGCTGAAATCCACTTCAGGCATAATAATTGAGCAGGACCCAACCCACGCCTGCAGGCTAAGAGCATGGGTCAAGCTGGATTAGATTTTACAAGTCCGGATTCAGCTCCCCCACATTGTCGCTCCAAGGGATGTCAGTGGGTCGGGTTATGTGATAAACCCCACTGACCCATTTCCGGGTCGAGAGTCGGGCCATCCGTAATTGGGTTTTCAGTCGGCTTATTTAGCTGATGTGGCAACCCAAGAATTCTGTCTGTCATCCATATCACCCTACCTCCTTTGCCACGTGGCAAACAAAAGCCACACGCCAAATAGATGCACTTCCGAGGGAGGATATATAGACCCATGATATTAGGGTTTTTATTATACAAGATTTGGATTTTGGAGCACCACCGACAAATGAATTCTGAAGGTGGGACCTCCTCCGGGTCATTCAAGTGAGGCTTCTGAAAAATAACAGCAAAAATAAAAAAGTAGAAAAAGGAAAGAAAAACAGAGAAAAGAACGAGAGCAACCTCGTCAAACAACTCAAATCAAAATCGTTTTCCTTAAAAGCATTTCTGATTTTCTGTCACGAAGACGAAAGAGAGAGAGAGATAGATGAGAATATGAATATCGTTATGTCCTAACTCGCAAGTCGCAACTCAGCAGCACCGTTAGGAACCGGGAGTCCGAGTGCGGATCTCCTGCCAACAATATACGTTCCAACACCCTCCCTACATGATCTGACACTGCACATCTACGATGTTAGAGGGTGTTTGGAACGTATTTTGTCAACAGGAGATCCAAACTCAAAATAGGATGGCACAAGCGTAGTTTCGTTCTAATTAAAAGGGTAAAAGTGTTCCTAAGGTTTCACTAAAAAAATTGAGAGAGAGAAAAAAGAGGGGAGTTTTTTATTTATTATTAGAGAGAAAAAAAAACGTTTGTCGTTGGTGAAAAAGTAAAAGAGAGTGCCACTGCGGTAGTGGCTAGTGGTCACGTTCTCTCTACCCGTCCGTACAGTGATATTTTTCGTAATTTACCGAATTTTTTTCCAGAATCAAAGATATGCTCGTAATCAGTAATCTCTTTCTCTTCTCTCTCTCTGCAAGCTAGCTGGGAGCCATACAGTTGTACAAGGCCTACCCTTTGCTGTCCGGCCGTGGGCCGTCGATTCGGGAGATAGCCCCACCGGGTAAGGCGTCCACGGACCATCGGATTGATGGGGGCGTGGGGCCGTGAAGGGACATGTGGATATCAGGCAGCGTCATTGGCTCAGAACATGAAAAGCGGTAAGGTAAGGTAAGGAGCCTGTGGGGCCTACCGTACAAATGGGTGTGTCCAAGGGGGAAGTGGGTCTACTCCCCCCCTCCCCCCCAGCTTTGAAAGTTTTCTTTGACCATCCTCTGCCACATTTGTTTTTATTCTTAACTAACCAATATATAACGTTTGCATCTTCTCAGTGCCAGATGGGTATTCTGGTAATTCTGTCTTGTTTAACCAATCTGGAAACGGGTCAATCTCGTCCTATTTCACTCACCCAATTCAACATGGAAACCAGTCCCATTTTGGGCTGGGCTGGGCTGGGCTGAACCTCAAGTCTCAACCCACTGTGCCTCAGGCTGCTCCGGATTGGGATGTTCTTTAGATTGGATCCGGGTTGAAGCCCCCCGCCACCCCAAGACAACTAGACAAGAAAAGAGGGGATTGGCCCAGTCATTCAGACCGGACCGGATAGAGAACCGTTTTGGTGAACCATTTTATATAAAAAAAAAAGTTTGAAATAATAGATATTAAAGGTAAGATTTAAAATTTCGATATAACATTTTTAGTAACTGATACACCTATTTTGAGGCATTTTTAAGGAAACTCTTATTTAATAAATTAAAGTATAAAATATTAAAAAATGCAAGGTTGAAAATATGAATACAATCCTTTCAGCGTATCACGGTGTATGATATTTCGAATATTGATCAGAGGATAAAGCAAATTAACACATGAATCATAGAAATGGGATAGGTTTTAATAAAACAGCAAATTGTTCAGATGAGAGGATAAAGCAAATTGATTCCCATTTTTAGTGGTCCAACCATCTGGTTCGTTCAATTTGAGCCGGTCAACTGCTCACTGCTGGACTTCCCTACATATATGTCAGTTGCCTTGAACAACCTCAAGTTTCCAGATATTTCACCTTGGAGTAATGGGTGAAGTGACTGAACTAAGTGACTTAATTGATCTGTGTTTAGTGAATAAGTTATTAAGTCGGTTCTGAACTCCTAGTAGCTAAATTATACATTGGATTGAATATTTTATTATAGGACTATTATATATTCATTAAAAGACCAAGCAACAAGTCAGCCACTTCAGCTATTTCAGCTGTTCGGTTACAATTGGCCACATAATTCTGCCACGTGGGAAGTTTCAATTCTATAGCTGGTTACATGAAGCATCTTTTTCCTTGTATGTATGCTGGTTTTACTTTTACATACATATTAAATATATTTTTTTCTTTTTCTAGAATTTCTTGGTTAGCGGCCTAGTTTTAAATGTTCAGCGGCCTGACCCTTTTTCCGGCCGCAGTTTTTCTGTTTGTGCCCCTTGAATCTCGGCCCAAATTTGAAAATATCCGGCAAGGAAATAGTGCAGACCAGCCCGAGCCCAACCTAAATTCTAAAAACAATCTGAATTCTGAAATTCCTACTCACCCCTCTGTGAGGCCCATCTTGACCCAAGGTTGATTCTCGGGTTGGGTGGGTCCACCGGTTAGTTCTTCTTCTTGTTAGGTTGAATCGGGTTCCCCAAGACCTAGCCCCGCCAGCCCAACCCGGCCAGGTTTGTACCAATTACAGCCTGAAGTGAACCCTCTAGAGAGAGAATTTAGAAAATAAAAATAAAAGCAGAAACAACATTCACTGGGAGGTGGTCGGGTCGGGTCGGGATACCCGGGCCAAGAATGGCCATGGAAGAAGGGAGGAGGATTATTAATACAGGTACAAAATGTACGGATGCGAGGCTATTTTGGTAATTCAGAAGGGGTGACGCAGGTCCCAAAATTAAAAAGACAACGAGACTACAATCCGGTGTTTTGAGTCATTCAATACGAGCACTATTATTAATTTATTATTATTTGTAGTAATTCGATGAGTTTTTAAATAAATTAAAATTGTTTTCTAAAAATTAGACAAAAATTGTCAGGGGCATTTTCGTAATAGACCCAGGATTTTGAACCCGAGGTAAGTAATGGGGTACCCATAAAAAAACAGGTAAAAATTTTAAATTGAATAAAAAATACACAAAAAAGGTATTTGTTTTTGCAGAGAAAAAGTACATACTGGTGGGCTGTCTTCCCGCCATAAACACTACACCACCAAATCCCTCAGTCTCTCATCTCTCTCTCATCAAAATCTTTTCTTTTTTTTTTCCTGCCCTGGTTCAAGTTTTTGGGTTTTTATTTTTTCTTTTATTATTTGGTTTTGGGCTTTTTGTTTTGTTTCTGGGTTTCTGGGTTTTCTCTATTTCCTTCCAGAAAATCTTGCTCTCTATGTTTTCTAGAACCTCTCTGCTATAAATAGATGAGTGCCTTTAGTTAGGGTTTTCAAGCATTTTAAAGAAGCTCTGGACTGTCCAGTGTCCACCAGATATAGCTGAGAGAAAGAGGAGAGAGAGAGAGAGAGAGAGAGAGAGAGGGAGGAGTAGACTGAAAGTAGTAGTGTAGTGTTGTTAAGCTTTTCTCTCCACAGAGAGGAGGGAGAGTGTGGGATATGGTAAGAGAATCAAGTGGAGAAAGAGAGATGGTGATGAAACCGGCGTGGCTTAATGGGCTTATGAGTGAGACATTTTTTGCTGGTTGTGGGGCCCACGAGACTCGAAGGAAGAACGAGAAGAACATTTTTTGCTTGGATTGTTGTCGAAGCATTTGCCCTCACTGTGTTCCTTCCCATCGATCTCACCCTCTCCTGCAGGTAAAAAGAAAACTTGATCAACTACACAAGCATAACACACAGCAAAACCACCCAGTTGCCAGTTTGTTCTTCTCCGTTTCTCTCTTGGGTTTCTCCTTCTGTTTTCAATTCACTACTTCTTTACTCGGTCTTTGCTATCTTGTTTTGAATTTCACCAATTTTCTTCCTAATTTTTCTATTCTTTTGATGTTCTGTGGTTCCCAGTTTGCACCCAATACTGGGTTTTGATTCTTTCGATTTTCTTCTGAATTTTGCAAAGGTATCTTAATTGGGACTTCCTCTTTTATAATTTCCCAAAATTTTCTGCTCTTTGTTTTATTTCAATCTTTTGCTTACATGTAAAAAACCTCTTTAGTGCCTAATTGGTTTTGGTTTTGCATAAATTCCTACTTCTACTTGTTAGTGAGAGAGTATGATTCTTTATGAAACTTTTAATTTACAATACCACTTGTCCAATTGTTGCTCTTGCTGCTTAGTTTAGAAGTTCCATTTTCTGTCCTTTTCACTAATTCAATATTATACAACCCGTTCTCTTTCCCCTTCTGATATTTGTCTTCATATTTTTTGACTGAAGATTTTGTGTTATATATTCTCTGCTCTGTTAAGACTCCAGAGATTACTGGGTGTCTATTGCAGCAATTAATCAAACACCCAGTTGCTCAATTATGCTTAGTTTATTGGGCTTCAGTTCAGACAATCTTCCATGATTTCTCTCTACTGTCAAGTTCCTCCCCCCTTCCATTTAACCTGTTAATTTAATCATTCCTGCCTATCCCCTTCTAAGATTCTCATGCTTAAATGAATTTTTCTTCATCTCATCACCATCTTATTATCCTTTTCCATGATTCCCTGTGTTTTTTAGATTTGGTTTGTTTCCTCTTTTAGCAAATTTCTTCTACACATTTTTTTTCCTGCAGCTTCCTTACCTGTAGCTTTCAAGAAAGTGAAAGTTTGACCCAATTTTCAGAAAAAATATTCAGATGCTTCCTTCACCATTTTTGTCATTTTCTTTTCACAAAAGCTCAGTTTCATAATTCCCCCCCTCTATAAATTCCTCCTCTTTTTCTCTCCTCCAACTCCCTTTTTTTTCTCTCTCACCCCCACCCCACCCCGGCCAAAATCGAAGAAAGCTTTATGTTTAGGGTCGGTTTGCTATTTTAACGTTCACCTTCTTTTTTTTTTTGCGAAATTACCACTTCTCCGATTCTGTAATTTGCTTGTCCTATCCTTTGTTCTGCGATGGGACATGGCCCATGATGGTAATTCCACCTTCAAAGCATTAAAAACCCCCGATTCCCTACTCTAATCCTATAATTTATGTTAAATTTAATTGAACGGTTGATCTGCGTGACAGGTGAGACGATATGTTTACCACGACGTGGTCCGATTGGATGACCTGGAGAAGCTCATCGACTGCTCCTTCGTCCAGGTAATACTAACACACTATAGTATTTCTTCTGAAGCTTTAAATTGTGGTAAAAGTAAGAGAAAAATAAAAAAAGGGGGGGCAATTATTCTGTGAATTGTGATGCAGCCTTATACCATAAACAGTGCCAAAGTGATATTCTTGAACCAGAGACCTCAATCAAGGCCGTGTAAGGGCTCTGCCAACATCTGCTTCACTTGTGACAGGATTCTCCAAGAGCCATTCCACTTCTGCTCTCTTTCATGCAAGGTCAATATCTTCTTCTTACTCCTCATTGATTACGGTATTTAAAAGCAAGGGCTGTGATGTTGACTTCACCATACTTCGCTAGGCTCCGGCCACAGTGAAGCATAACATAACAGAACCAACCACCATTGCTAAGTTGCTACTAATGCTACTAGTTTGTAACTTTGTATGGTTTAGAGTCTCTATGGTGTATCTGCGATGTACCGAATTGGGTTTGCATTGGATAATCGTGGGTGACCTCGAGAATGAAAATGGATTGCAGGTAGATCACGTGGCGGTACAGGGAGGAGATCTGTCCAGCATCCTATACAGGTTCGATGAATCCGACTTTGCATTCTCGCAATTCGAGGGGCTACGAATGGACGGCTCTGATCTCTTGGAGGATGACGGTCAGATCACCCCCAACTCGATCCTAGAGGACCCACTAGACTTCAAGGGCTCCTCTTGCTCTAGCAACCCTCAGAGGGGGAATTCCAATTCTGAGGTGGTGAAGAAGAAGAAAGGAAGTGGATTTCTCCCGGGAATTGTCCTCTCTTTGAGCAGCAGAAGAAAGGGTGCCCCTCACAGATCTCCCCTATCTTAGAAGCAAAAAAATTGAACCATTTCCAAATCACTCTCTCTCTCTCTCTTTTTAATTAACTACTTTAGTACCCCCCACCCCACCCCACCACACCCCCCTCTCTCTATATATATTAGATGTTGTCATTAGGGTTGGCTTATGCTCCATATTTATTCACTGTAGCAAGTTTGCACCGTATATTCTCGTAGAAGCGGCATATATGGGCTTATTTTTCTTCTCCTTTCTTCCTTTCTTCCTTCCTCTTCCAAAGCGCTTACTTCCATTACTGACCTCCGGCAATGGCCGTAGAGAGACCGTGTAATTGCAGGCTCTTCATGGTTATGCCAATTTTGTATCCATGTACTGGAATTTGCGCTCGTAAATATAATATAAATTTCGGTTCGGCTTGTATTTATTGTCTTACAAACTCTAATTGGTCGGAAATATTTTTCATTTTTATTTGTTTGTATGATCATTTTTATTCCAATTATATGGGGTCGGCTGAATCTTATTATGCCAATTAAGATGATGGATTTGTAAATAATTTGATGATTTAATTACACCAAGGATATGATAATAATATGAATATAACCAACCCTAAATGAGTGCAAATATTGGGAGAAGTAAGAAAATTAGGAAGCAAAAGCAAATCCAAATATTGGGAGAAGTAAGAAAGTTAGAAAGCAAAAGCAAATCCAATTTTCAAAATGGCTAGTTTAGGAAATTTGACCGTGGCACAACATTGGGGGAATTCCCAGGACCTAAAAAAAGGGAATTGTTTGGTATAGAGACCGAAATCTCGAGATACGACCCAAACCCATGAAAACTACACAACTCTGACTGTGAGAGAGAGAGAGAGAGTAATTAAACAAAGTCATTCATGCAGTTGAGCTGGTTCTGTTCTGTGTGGTATTTTGCTTTTTATTTTAAATTAAAAATTTTTGTTTTAACTTTTAACGGGACACAGTGGACACTGTACACCATGGTGTGGGATTGAGAAAAGCGCAAAAAAATCTTTTGGTGATGCGTACGATGTATCTCAATGGCACGACATGGTTGGGGGGTTTCTCTCTAAAGTCTAAAGTTATCCACAGTGGCTACGTCAGCAATATTTTTGTCTCCCTCTCCCCATGCATTGCCAAGAACTTTTGCTACTCGGGTCGTCTAGATAACAAGACATGTATTTACTACCTGCTAAGAGATCTTCCACGTGGTAATAAAAGCTGGGCCCTACATGTTCTTCACTTGCCCTGATCAACGGACAAGTTCAGCTTGACACGTGTCAACTTTTTTTTTTCCCTTTTTTTTGGGTTTTCTGTTTTTGACTTAAATTTTGAAACTTTGAATTATTTGTATTAGGAAAGCTCCAATAGATGGTGGGGTAGTAGAAGGCGGTGATGTGGAGCCCTAGGACAGCCTGTATCAGTATCATGAGACTTGGCCGGACCGATGACTTGTAAGCTTTCCGGCTCTTTTTGTTGGTTAGGTTGTCTGAAATCAGGATATATAGGTGATGTTTGGCATTGATGCCATTTTATTAGAAAACGGCGCAAAGTAGATGTCATATCAGAGAAAGCGGTGCTTTAAATAATATCATCTTGTTGGTACTCTTTTTTTAGAAAAAAATGTTTCAAATCATGTCTTAAAAATCGGAAAAATGTGGTATGGAACAATGATAAATTCAATGTTTTATGAGAAAACAACACATTACTGCCAGCGCTGCAATGATGTGGCATCATCTTGGACATTCAATAATATAGATCAATATTGAAAACGCTGCTGCCAGCCTGTCAACAATGATACCAAATAAAAGCAATGTTGTTTTTTCAGAAAACTCCTATGTGACAGCACCGATTTCAAACATGCCCAATACCGTTTCTATGAGAAAATGGTGCGATGTAACTGCAGGCTCTCCATCGTAAAGTCAATGAATCTCACGTCCAACCTCTCTCCCATGTCTTAATCCCTTTAATGTGTAACAAAAAAAAATACTACATAATAGATAAAGAACAAAACAATAGATAAAATGAGATGGGGACACTATCAAACTACAAAACTCATCATGTTTTGAGTTCCTATATTAGCTTGCTGGTTGAGGGATTAATAGAAAAGATAGTTTGTATTATTGCTAGAGGTACCATTAGACATGTAGGGAAACCCATTATGGGATTGTCCCCATTTCTAATAATCAGTCCTAAAGAACCATCTTTCTTCAAAATAGTCTTTGTACCATGCAATATTTCTTACCCTTTTGTCTATTTCAGGTGTTTCTTGTATATATGAGCTTTTAATTTTCCTAAAGCAATAATATTTAAGATGATTCTTGTATGTATGAGCTTTTCATCACATCATTCCCTTCATTGCTAAAGAGGGGGAGGGGCACAATCAGTAATCAAACTGAAAGCTCAGATAGGCCCTCAAAGGTAGCTTCTTATTATGGTCATCACTAGGCACAATTAATTCATCTAAAATCAAAGAAAACCATTAGAAGAAGAATAAATTCCCCCCCCAAAAAAAGAAAAATATAGATTGCTATTTTTAAAGCAAATGATTATTCATGTAGGCATAATACAAAGAAAGTACATAATTAGCAGAATTATATATGTTCCACATATCAGTTTTGGTGATTTTGGTATGTATATGTTAGATGCTAAACACTTGTATCAAAACCCGTCTCGTCTCGACATATTAGGTTGAACCATAATAAAGGGTTATTAGAAGAAAGGGCTACATGGAGTAGAGTGAAAGCCATCTTTATAAAACGCTATCTGCCATTAGAGTGAGAGCCACCAAAAAAGGCGAGTAGCTTTATAAAGTCAAAGTTGCCTAAAATTAGAGTTTTTGAGATATTGGATGTCACTACACAACTATGACTTTTAGTCAAAGTTTTAAAAATTGACCTCGAAATGGAATCATCATAAATCAGTAAAAAAAATATAAAAAATAAACAAGAACGCAGAAAAATACAGAAAATTATAACAATTAAAGTTGCAAAAAAAAATTAGACACATCTCTAATATTATGTATTTATCATGTTAAAAAAATAACTGCAACAAATGAATAATTAATGATGAAAATGGCTAAAAGTATAGAATAAACAGAAAAAGGCTGAATTAATGTCTGAGGCATGACCTGCTGACTAGGTCAAATAGTTGGGCAATTCAATTGGTTGGATCATTAGATCATTGACTAAGTTGATATTCATATATGTGTATGTATGCATATATATATATATATATATAATAAAAGTACAAAACTTATTAATTAGTTGATGAAGCACATTTAATAGAACGTAGCTAGATATATACACAAGATCATATGTTAACTTTATAATAATTTTGCAAAACAAAGGTACACAAACGCCATATACAATTGAAAAGACAAAATGACAAAAAATATGCAAGAAAAAGAAAAAAAAAAACATCAAGTGTCATGAAACACCAAACATGTCAAACATGTAGTCCATCTTTTCTTCCCATCATACTCATTTGTGCTCTTGTTTCTATTCTACGAAGGGAAAATCAAGAAGTTTTCCTGCGCAGTATTTTTTGTAGAAACAGATGGGATAGCAAACTGGTAGAGCCACGGGAATGCATGAATGAGGAGCAAAATTAAGGAGTAGAGCCTAAAAATTGATCACAACCCATAAAACCAAGATTTCCCAAACAGTAATACTAATATCTCAATCTCACGTGATATTCCAAGGGAGATAATTGGTGAAGATTGGAAAGCAGCCTCAGAGAAATGAGTCTAAACACAGAGACGGTACAACAAGTACACTTCTCAGGTTCTTTATTGTCATGTGATCGCCACCCAATTGAACTTGAGGTGAGTCAGATACTTCACATGGGATGTCACATACTATGTTGACTCTCAATCTCATGGATATTAGGAGAAGAACCAGACACAAGTTAACACATTGGACAATTGCATGACTTTGCTTCTTCGGATAACTGCTCTTCTGCATCACACTCATGCACTGTGATAAGTGTTAAGCCAGAGAGAGAGAGAGAAGGAGAGAGAATGGTTGCTTCCCTTGTCTCCCTTGCATTGGATTATCATATTCTTTGTTTTGGGTAATTCGAGATTATCAAATTATCAAGTTGAAACGAGCATTTCAAGGTAGAAATTTTTTCAGAGAGGTCGGCTCGAGAGGAGAGAGAGAGAGAGGACCTCGCCCTTCAAGGTGGAATAAGTTCGAGGAAGTCTAAAAAGGGGTCATAATGTTGTTATAAGAGTTGTTATTGGTTTTCGTCATCACCTGAAAAAGGTGTTATCTACTTTTGCTAATACAGCTTTGTAACTTGCAAAACCTAGTTTCCTGATTCCTCTCTCAGACTCATAGTCTTTTAATTTCTTTTGTGTAGAGCTAGCTCAAATCAGTCTACATCACCCCACTCAAAGTCTTTTAAATCCATTGCATTTCATTGGTGGGCTGTTTCCAAGTGTTTCATTAATTGGACCCCAAACCCTAAAGCTTCCCATGCATAAGCTACTCTAACCTACACCAAGTGGCCAAGAGGCAAGAGCTAATTAATGATACCACACCCCTTATTTATTGAACAAACCTCAATTGGGTTCGAGTCTTTATTATCTCACTAGTCAACAACATTTTCTTTTCTGGGTTATTAACTTTTCAGGAGTGTGGAGTGTGAACACTAGAATTCAAATTCATTCAGAAAAGACTCAAGAGAGAAATAAATAGAAAAAGGCTTTAGATTTTACAAGGGTTGATTGCTTGGTCAATATTTGTGGATTGACCAAGGAGCTTTTTTTTTTTTTTTTTACATTAAATTTTTATTTGCCCACTAAAACAATATCGAAGCATGCAAATTGCAAATCTTCTGGAATTAGATAATCAAATCTCTTTTGGTTGAGTGAAAAAGGAAAAGAAATTAAGAAGCTTAAGAAGGAAATATGCAAATGATCCTATCCATTATTATCAAGTAAAGGGTTGGAGTTAATGCTGCTGCTTCTTTGCCCTTCAGACTCTTTTATGTAAATAGTAAGTTTCTGTTTGGATCCGGGTCCTGATCCAGATCTGAGGTAAATACGTATTCTGAACAAGGCCCAACCAGTACGAATCAGTTCTGACATCGTCAAAAGTTCTTTTGTTCTTTTGGTCAAGGACATGGTTGAAAGTTGCCAATCAGAATTGGACTCTATTTTCAGGGTGAGTATCATTTTAACACCCTAATTTACACCCTATTTGACAAAATGCTCATCAAAATTGCTTCTCTAATTCCCCTTATCCCATCTTAATCTCTCTCTCAAGTCTCAAGAGATACATTTTTGCACTAGATTAATTCTCAATTATGTTCATCACCAGGCCACACAAGTCACCAGTTATAGGCTTGTTTTCTTCTCAATTCCACACTGATATCCATCTGTAAGTCTGTGACTTCTAAGAT